TCTCGAACCCGCGGGCTCAGGCAATCCACTCACCTCAGCCTCCCAAAGGCGCGGGATTACAGGCTGAGCCACCAAACCCGGCTTTGTATAGTTTCTTAAGGGAAATGTTTATTCATATCCCTTGTCCACTTTTAAATTGGGCTAATTGTCTTCTAATTATTGAGATGTAGGAATTTTAAAAATATATTTTAAATACAATTTTCTTTTCAGATCTCTGATTTGAAATATTTTTCTCCCATTCTAAGGGCTGTCTTTTCACTTTCTTGATTGTGTCCTTTGAAATGAAAACTTCTTAAAATCTCAATTCTCAGCCGGGCTCGGTGGCTCAGCCTGTAATCCCACGCCTTTGGGAGGTTGAGGTGAGTGGATTGCCTGAGCCTGCGAGTTCGAGACCCGCCTGGGCAACTTGGCGAGACCTAATCTCTACAATAAATCAAAAAATTAGCCAGGCGTGGTAGCATGCTCCTGTAGTTCCAGCTACTTGGAAGGCTGAAGCGGAGGGATCACCAGAGCTCAGCAGGTTGAGGTTGCGGTGGCCGGGAGCGTGCCACTGCGCTCCAGTCTGGGTAACAGAGTGAGACTCCAACTCAAAAAAAAAAAAAAAAATCTCCATTCTATCTAACTTATCTATATTTTCTTTAGTTGTGTGTGTTTTTGGTGTCATGTCTAAGAAACTGTTGCCTAATCCAGGTCACAAAGATGCATGCCTATATTTTCTTCTAAGTTTTATAGTTTGAGCTCTTACATTTAGGTCTTTGATCCATTTTGAGTTAATTTTTTTGTATGTAGTATGAGGTAGGGCTCCAAATTTATTCTGCAGGTGGATGTGTTGAAAAGTCTATTATTTCCTTGTTGAATGTCTTGGCGCCATAGTTGAAAATCATTTGGCCTTGGTTGTATAGGCTTATTTATGAACTCTCAATTCTATTTCATTGATCTATTAGTCTATTCTTACTCCAATACCACACTGACTTGATTACTATAGCTTTGTAGTAAGTTTTGAAATCAAGAAGTGTGAGTGCTCCAACTTTGTTTGTCTGTTTTAAGATTGTTTTTGGCTATTCTGTGTCCTTTGCATTTTTATATGAAATTTAGGATTAGTTTGTCAGTTTCTGCAAAAAGTCCATTGGAATGTTGATAGAGACTATGTTGAATCTGTAGATCTATCTAAGGAGTATTGTCATTTTAAATAATACTCAATCTAGCCAGGCTCGGTGGCTCAGCCTGTAATCCCGCGCCTTTGGGAGGCTGAGGTGAGTGGATTGGCTGAGCCCGCGGATTCGAGACCTGCCTGGGCAGG